GAATGTCACACGGTGGTTGCCTCAACACTTGCTATGTACGAACTTCGTACATGTCCGCCCGTCTGATCATTCTATCTCATCACTTGCTATGCACGAAGTTCGCGTGTGTCCGTCTGTTTAACTTTCTATGGAATGTCACACGGTGGTTGCCTCAACACTTGCTATGTACGAACTTCGTACATGTCCGCCCGTCTGATCATTCTATCTCATCACTTGCTATGCACGAACATGGTGCGTGTTTATCTGTATAACTGTTCAATGGGTTGTCGTGCGGTGATTGCTTCAGCACTGCCTATGCACGAACCTGTCCGTCTGTCTAATCCTTCTACGAAATGTCACACGGTGGTTGCCTCATACGCGCAATCACTTGTCGCTCATAACAAATTCCTCAGCACTGAGTGAGAAAGCACTGAGTGAGAAAGCACTGAGAGAGAAAGCACTGAGTGAGAAAGCACTGAGACAGAGAACGTGTATGGAGGCGACACAGGCGCGCACGTAAAGACGAGGTGTTCACGGCACGCCCTATCATCACGATGCTGCACGCGGTACTGATGCTCCGGGAGGCTGCGGAACGCACAGATGCGGCGCCGAAATCTTCCCGCCTTCTCCGTTGTGTGTGAGCGAGCGAGCGAGCGAGAGCGAGAGAGAGAGAGAGAGAGAGAGAGAGGCCTGCCCCTTGCCACAGCTGTTTACATACGTCCCTGCTAGGCCGTTAGTAGTCTCATCTGGGGGTAGCGAGATCAGCGTTAGTCGGGTAGGGTTACATCACCAGCAAGTGTCCGTCTGGTTAGGCGGGGACGGGGGCTGCCATGACATGATCCAGGCGCACTGGTTCGATCCCCCACCACGGCGGGCTGGCACCTGTAGCGCCCGTAGCTCACGCTAGCAGTGTTTAGGTGGGGGTCAGAGGTCACCATCTCGCAGATAACTCAGAAGTTCAACCAGGGTTCGAAATGAACTATTTTTGCATGGCACCGAGTACTATTTGCAGTGATAAAAGCGAAGAAGAAGAGAAAAGAAGAGTGCGTCACAGAGAAAAAAGGCGCGGGCAACAAATTTACTCACCCAGGCAAAATATTTGGTGCTTTTACTTTGGTCTATTAGGAATTTCGTCACAGAAAGTATCTGCTGCCGACGTTGAGAGCAGGCAGTAAAAGTGACCATTTCAGGCAGCAATACTTCTGCTCGCTGCCCTTAATATCCGAACCTTGCTAACAAAGACGTTCGCTACCGTTACAGATCTAAACCAGTCACGAGGTTTTATCCCCTGAGGACCCGTACAGTGGAGTAACTCTAACACCTCTTCTCAATCCACCTCCACCAATCCAACAAAAATTAAGCGGGGGATAGAATTGCCTCTTCTTCTACCGAGCTGATCCGACCGACCGGTGCCCTTGCACTAACACTACAGAAACAGTGACTTATGGGGCCAGAATCCCTCCCGCTAAAGAGTTGAAGTCATGACATACCGGACCAAAATACCTAAGATAACGGGTGTTGAAGCCATGGTGTAGCGGACCAAAGAATACTTACGATAAAGGGTTGATGGTATGGGGTAGCGGACAGAGAATACCCAATATAAAGCTTTGAAGCCATGACATACCGGACCAGAATACCTAAGATAAAGGGTGCTGAAGCCATGATTCGTATCAGACACAGAACACCTACGCTAAAGAGTTGATGCCTCTCCTGGGGGGACTGCTGCCAGCTGGTAGGGGAGGGGGCGAGTGCAGATGCGTGGCTGGGGGCAGGACAAGTGTATCAGTGTCCTGGGAGAAACTGCAATATGACCCATGGCGTGAGATGCTGGGAACACGGGGGAGGCAGGAGCTCAAGGATGCGGCAGGGACAGCAGCAGCGGTGCTCACATCATCACTAGCATCATTACCATCATCATCATCATCATCATCAGCAGCAGCTGCAGCAGTAGTAGTAG